ACTCGATTCCTCATGAACCCCTATTCTCGGCGGTGAGACAATGCATAGACCAGAACGGAGTTGTCGCTTTCCAGAATTCTTCGGGCATCAGTGTTGATAGCTTTCTTGAGCTCCTGGTTTTTTACTTAAAACATACGTTTGCGTCATTCGAGGGGGGTCTTTATGTGCAAAGAAAAGGCGTTTGCATCGGGTCCAGTGTTGCACCTGTTTTGTGTGACATTTTTCTAGGCAGCTGTGGAAAAAACATCGCTTTGAACATTTCGAACGATGACAATGTGAAGATCTTCAGATACGTCGACGATTTCCTCATCCTTAGCCGCTCGGCGGGGCCCCCTTGCAGTGAAGTCTCTCAGTTGCTAGACGTGTTTAAATTGTGTTGCTCCGGGTTGACATTCACGCATGAGTTACAAAAAGAAAGCAAACTGCAATTCTTGGACCTCGAGCTGTCGTTTTTGGGGGACCATGTTTGTTGGAAGTACGCGCCTCGAACTAGGAAGGGCATCCTTCCTTTTGATTCCGCCCACTCGAAGGTAGTGAAAAGGGGCATAGCCAGTTCGTGCCTGGGGGCTTCTCTCAGAAAGTCATGTTTGCACAGTGCGCAAGGCAGCTTCGAGGGTCAGATAGAACGCCTGCAGAGGGCTGGTTTTCCGTTGAGAGCTTTGGTTGAAGTGGCAGAAAGCTTAATCAAAAAGATTAAAGGTAATCGGAAATCAAACAGCGATAGACCGACCACGAGGCCTGTTGTCATTCCATATATGCACAATATAACGCACAATCTGAAAAAGGTAGCCCAGCGCTACAATGTGCCGGTAGCTTTTTCAGCACCCAATAAGATGGCGCGACTTTGTCGCCAGATCAATTCACCACAGCCATCTTCAGATCCCTGCACTACCAAACATCGAAATAAGTACGTTGAATGTGCCACTGGCGTCGTCTATGAAATCCCCATGACGTGTGGGATGACATACGTGGGCCAGACGGGCAGGTGCGTTAATGATCGCACCCGAGAGCACGCTGCCTCTACAAGAACGACGCCTTCGGGGCACCTTGCAATTCATTGCAATAGATGCTCTTGCACCCCGGCCTTCAATGACTCCAAGATTTTGGCTAGATACAAAGATAAAGTGTCGCGGGAATTACACGAGGCGTATGCAATTAGGACCAGAGACAAGAATTGTATAAGTGACACGTCGGTATCCTTATCTACAAATGAGTTTGAATTTTTGAAACGCGGGCTGAGTAGATAAAAAAGAAATGATTTTTTTTTTTTTTTTGTGTGGCTATATAACGTGTGAATTTTTCAATAAACATCAGTTGAGAGTGCGCCTTGTCCTGTTTCCCTTCGTCTGTGTCCCTGTATATTTTTTCGGCGCTTTTTTGCTTGCAATGAACCAACTGGCCCAAATCTCCACTTTATGCTTCCACCCCCAAGCTGCAATTTAAAGAGGCGCAGCTTTCCTTGGAACGCGAAGATCGCGCTCACCATGTCCGAAATGAGATGGTCTTTCCTTGGAGAGCTATGTTATGCGTGTTCAGATGGCTTGAAATATCGGTAAGGAATGCCAGATCCCACGACCATTGTTCTTCCTCCAGCTCTGGTATGTGTTTCCCTTCCTCTTGCAAGAAAGCGATGATGTCGGCCTTCAGCGCAACGAAGCGACTCGGAACATTCCCACGGCTTAGCCAGCGAACTTCAGTGTGATACGGGATGTCCATGTGCTCACTCTCCATTTCTTTCAGGTACTCTTGAAATTTTCTGTGCTTCAATCCCCGAGCACGTATAAAGTTTACAACCGAAGTCACGACCTTCATCACATGGTCAAACTTCATCACTTTGGCACAGAGTGCTTCCTGGTGAAGCACACAGTGATATTGCTTCAGTTCTACACCACTGAACGCTTGAAGTAAGGCAACGGCTCCATTTCTCTTTCCCATCATGGCTGGAACTCCATCGGTGCAGACACCTGCGCGTTTTTCCCATGATAGCTTGAGCTTCTCGATGACGTCTTTGACCTCCTTGCTGATCTCTTCTCCCGTAGTCCGTCCGTGCATTGAGCAAAGCTCTGCCAGCTCCTGAGTCACTTCGAAGTTTTCGTTCACACCACGGATAAAAACAAGCAGCTGTGCGCTGTCTTTGATGTCTGTGCTCTCATCCAAAGCAAGAGAGTAGTAGACAAAATTAATGCAACTCCTTTCCAGCTGTTTTGATAGGTCGTCGGTAATGTCATGCACACGTCATTGTACTGTCATTCTTGACAGGCTCAGGTTTTGGAAAACCAACTTCTTGACCGGGCACATCTCCTCAGAAGCAATCATAACACATTCCTTGATGAAGTCGCCATCAGTAAACGGACGACCTGAACGAGCGATCTGTTGAGATATCTGAAAAGACGCCCGCGTGGCTGCTTCAGATGTGTTCATTGCTTTTGTAAAAATACTTTGCTCAGCAAGCAAATTCCGTTTGAAGTCCTCGGACTTTGTTTTTCTCTCCGAATCCGAAAGAGCGCTGAAGTCGCGGGCATGTTTGGTCTCGTAGTGGCGTCGAACGTTGTATTTTTTAGGAGCCGCAAGAAATTCTCGACACACAAGACATTAGCACTTTGATGCGTTCTCAATGAAAAAGTACCTCCATGTCCACTCCTGGTTGAATTTCCGGCCCTCCTGGTCGATTTTTCTCTTCTTTGGAAGTGCACTCATATTCCAAGCGCGACACGACTAGCTTTTCTCTATCTGCAGCAAGCTGTCACTGATCATGTCCCAACAGGAGGGGAGAGGGCTGTAGCCTCCGTGTAGAGAGGGAGGAGGAAACGGGATGAAGAAGACATGGAACATTCACAAACACAGGGACGCGGGGTCGGGTCATAACAACGCACTGGATGGCTGTACAGGCTTTTGTATTGTTGTTTTCTGTGGGTCTAGTGGAGAGGGAATATTTGAACTGAGGACGCGGAGTTTCTCCCCGGAAAAGAGGACTCTGAGAAAAGTACGTCAACGGGTTCGAATGCTTTCTGCCAAGTCAACGGCCGCAGTGCATTGAATGACACTGTGAGCGGTTTCTGCGCTCAGCTGGGCCGCGGGCCGTATGTTGTGCACCCCTGCTTTAGACCAAACAGGTTGTGAGAAAGAAAGGAAAAAAATGTCGTCTTTCGATTCACAAGCTTTTGTCATTGAAATAATACCTGATTGCCAACGATTTCGTTACTTGAATAACTGGAAACAATCCTTTTTATCGTTCTTTTTTTATTCAATGTTGTGTTTCCAAACTTAATTTATTTGAAGAGTGGAAAAAAATAAAAGCACCAGTAACTATGTTGGCTTGGCATAGGGTGTTTTCACTGACGCGATTTCGTCCACCATTTTGTTGTTGCGAGCTGTTTGGCGTGTGCTGGAGGCGAGCATTCAGAGGATTTTCATGACCTCTCATATGCGTAGAGCGTAGAAGCTTATAATTACAAGGCTGCCATCTCCGCAACAGGTTCCGATGTAATCCTTTAAATTAGTAATTTTGTTTGAAAAAACAAACAACAAAATGGCGGTTTGACATGTGAAAACACCTTATTATCTTTTTATCTGGTAATGTTCAATTTGAAGAGTCCACAACAAAATCTGTTGCATCCATCTGACTCAAAAATATTTACTTCTACATTTGTGTTGGCTTATATATACTAAAGTTGTATTTTAAGCCAATAGGTAAATCATTTTCCAGCCATCATTATCGAAAACTGCCTACGTCAACAGCTAAATTCCTATTTCCGGGAATTAGCTATGAACGGTCATTGGTAGGAAAACAAATTATGATCCGCAGCAGATTGGTCATTTCTACCTGTCGGTGTTCAAGACTATGGAAGGTCATATGTGACTATTAATGAAGAAACAACCGTGAAAAAAAAAAACTTAAGAAAAGCCTTGATGCGAAATGTCTTCAGCGAGTGCTTTCCCTAGCTCCAAGACAAAAAAAAAAATACTGAATATGCTTTGTAGTTTTACAATGGACCAATCTCACCAAGCGTTCGGCGCATGCGTGACGCCGCCATAACTTTAGTTCACAGGGGGCAAACGGCCGTGGATGCGAGGGCTCGTGCCGTCTTTTGCTCCACACGTGCAGAGCTCCAGTGGGGTTGTCGCACGAGCAGAAAGACTAAAGTTTCCCCAATGCACTGCGGCAGAGGTGGCGTAGTCAAACGGACTGGTGAGATCGGTCTATTGGGCGTATCCTAAATTTTGAAACCTGATATCCGAACCCCAGATATATACAAAATATGGGCACAAGAAAAGCACCAAAATGCCATCACTGTTTCATCTCTGAATTAATTGTAAGAACTGCACGTTATGTTTAGTTTCCTTTTTATTTCATGTTTTTCCCAGAATCCTGCATTGTCTGCCCATACACATCTGTCATCATCCCCTTTTTTTCGGCTGTGCTTTGATTTCCATTGCACTCAATAGTTTCCTGAAAATTGACATTTAATATAGTATTGATATTCAACCAAGAGCCAACATATCGATAGTATTATTAGTACTAAACGGTCGGTAGTATTATTGATAGTACTATCAGTAGTGTTCGATACTATCAATAGTTTTTGAAAAAAATATTAATAGAATTGATAGTCAATGTTTTTATAATTTCGCATTACTAGAGAATATATGCACACGAGGCTAGGCCTAGTAGCCCCTGAGCCATCAGGTTTCGGAACTGATGCTTATCGCGGTTCTCTTCGTGCTCAGGCAAACGTGGCGCGCCTCGCACGCATCGCCAACGTGTGAATACTAGTCATTTCTGCCTTTATTTTTCAATGCATGTTAATAAAACTCTGCGAGAATGTTCATTATTAATCAGACGTGCCAAAAAACGCTGCCGACAATTTTTTGTTCCTTCCATGTTTCTTCATTTTTATTTTTTATGCCTTTTGTAGTTATAGTCTGGTATTGACTCTGCTGCACAAACTGTTTGATAGCACTGGGATCTAGGAAAGGAAGAGAGAGATTTGTGTTTGTTCCAGCGGAGCTGGGAGTCCTACTTCGACTACATCGTGGTGGATGCCCTGAAGCCTCTCTTCTTCGGCGAGGGCACCATCCTAAGACAAGTGGACACGGTTGGTTGGGTTGCATGGGACGCTTTGTTGGGAAGGCGTTAACGGGCTGTTTTCTCGCTGCAGACTACTGGGGCACTGCGTATTGGCAGTCACATTGGACCTTTGCAGCTGGGCCAAGTCTACTCTGGAGGTAGCCTCATGCTGTTTCACTCATACGTCATTTCTTTGCTGGAAGAGCACTATTTAGACTGTATACAAAAGTCTCGTTAGTTTGGACTTTTTGTTATTTTTTGTTGCAACATTACAAGCTTACTGCAACTTCTCTTTACAGTGAAGTTGCATTATAGTTGTAATAGTAATATATTGACATTGAACGTGCTCATGTGAAGCTTTTTTTTACATTTGACATGGGGTTTTAGTATTTGGTGCCCCATGTGGTACTAACCATTGTTTCAAGACGCATGCGTTAATAAATAAATAGGTTTATACTCAAAAATGGTTTTCGTCATTTCAAGTAGCGAATTATGGTTAATAATATACTACATGATTGAAATTTTGAGTTGGAAGTTACTGCTGCTTGGTGTAGCAAGATTGCGCTGGTTTTGGCGTAGCATTGTGTTTGAACTTGCTGTCACGACCACGTGAACTGCGGCGCCAGTTTATGGGTCATTAAAAAGGATTGGATAGGATTTATATTGAAGAGGTCCAGAAATGATTGTTTTGAAATTAAGAATTTTCGATCTACCCTTCAAAGCGGACCTCCTGGTTAATGCCATGCACTTTCCAGTCTACCGATTTTAAAACTTTCTGCCCAAGTTGTGAGAAGCAAGGTAAACAAGCAGCCAAAGCAAGATGCTTTGGTGAATGCATGCTCCTGTCTGTGCAAAACCAGCATTGTATCTGGAAAAAGGCTGATTCTTGTTGTCACTAGATGAGGTTTTCATGATTCATCTAGTCCAGTGGTTCCCAAATGGAGGTTCGCAAGCCCTTTAAGGCCCCTGAAGGCCTTCTTGGGTCCCCAAAGCACCGTCAGTCAAGCCGAGCACAAAAACTACCTTTTTTATTGATTCTGGCTGTGCCATAAAGCTAAATTGACCAAACCATATGCACCGAGAGGGTAGGGTTGATCATTGTCCATTTAAGAGCCTCAACGTTCGTTTACACGCATTTATAGCTTCCTTCATTTTTCCTTTTGTCTTCGTAATCATCCAATACCCTCCCTTCCCTTTTGGTCGATGGGGTCCCCCATCACTTCTGTCGATCCGGAAGGGGTCCCCGGAACATCAGCGGTTGAGAACCACTGCTCTAGCAAATAATTCAGTAATTAGCTTGGGCCTAACAAAATGTTTGCAGTGCCAGAAAATTGCTCCAGAATTCCAAAATTGTGTGCACCTGGCAGGGGTGGAATTACAAATAGGCAGAGTAGGCAGCTGCCTAGGGTTGCAGAATTTTTGGGGCGACCAATTTGTGGCTGCTCCCAAATTGATTGGGTTTTTCTTGTAGTCTAGCTACGAATTTAGCTACTTTGGAAATCCTAGCGCTAAATCTAACAACTTTTAAAAATTTTAATTCCAAGTTGAGCTACTTCCCCACCGCTCCCCATAGTCGCTGACCAGGGATAGCGGGGCTGTATAACACGAGAGTGCACGACACTAGAGCGCCGCGACAGCCGAGCGCACGACAGGAGAGCGCCGCGACATGAAAGCGCGTGTCATTAGAGTGAGCGTCACGAGAGCGAATGTGCGCATCTTGGGAATGATCGATATTGAGGTCTTTAAACACTTGTTTTCACGGAGAGGACCATTTGACACCAAAGGGAGTCGCATTTCGAACGCGTGGGGTCGTTTAATTCGCTGAGTATGCAGACCCGTGGGGAAGTGATTACCGCACAGTTGTCATCGCAGCCGCTCATAGAGTGTTTCTTTTGAATATGGTCACTACTTTCACTATCGAGACAATGCTACTTGTCATTTTTTTCCTCCCAGAAACAAGAATTTGTTCACATATCAATATGGCTGAAAAAAAAAAAAAAACTGTCGGTTTGACGATGAGCTTTTTTCCGAGTTTGAACATTTTAGTTATTTACTGAGAGTAAGGCTGCAGGAGTCTATCGCGGTGTTACATCAATATCATGTTTAATTCTGGCAAACGTCGGGAAAACGTCCAAATGTGAACGCGCTAGAAATCCATCCGTTCGTTCCTTTGTTTAATGACGAAATATGAACTGCACTCACATATTGTGCAGTGCTGGCTGCCGCGTAACAGTTAATTAAATATTAATACCAAGTTACTAGTGAAGGGGATTTGAGAGTTGAACGTTCTGCCATGGGGAAAAGCGACTTCGTGACTGCAGCTGTTCAGTGCTTTCGTGACGCGCGCTCTAATGAAACGCTTAAAGATTAAAACAGCGCAAGGACACGGACAAGAACAAGAAGGTAGACAAACAAGGCGCGAACATTCCCTGTCTTTATTACCAGCGGATAAAGAGGGAGGCTTCGTAGTGGTGCCTAAGGGGATGTTTATGTCTAAAGCGTCAGACGCCATAACGGCCACGTTTAAGCGCAGGGATGACGTGTCACTTCCGAAGGTGAAAACGGAACAGCGCCTTGTTTGTCTACCTTCTTGTTCTTGTCCGTGTCCTTGCGCTGTTTTAATCTTTAATCATGAAATACCAACTAGCCCAAACTTCTGCTTTAATGAAACGCGCTCTCGTGTCGCAACGCTCTCCTGTCACGCGCTCTGCCGTCGGCGCTTTCGTGTCGTGCGCTCTCGTGGCGCCCTCCCGGAAAGCGGGGGGTTGGGGGAGGGGGGGGGGGGGCAGCACTGTTAAAGGCTGCCTAGGGCAGCAAAACGCAATGTCCGCCTTTGGCTCCTGGACCTGCCATCCTAGCTTCGCATGGTAGTCAACATGGAGTTTTATTACCGCAGGTATGTTCATTTATTGCAGTGCTGTTTGGTAACACTTGGCAACATTTCTTTGAACCAAATGGAGGATTGTCAGTGTCACCTGAGCTCAGCTGAACTACAGATGCTTTTGAAATCTACTGAAGGTTTTCAAGACTAGGTTCCTACTATTAGCAAAAAGCAACTAAGGCCCGGACTATTTTCTCGTGCAGGTAGCTGCGACGTGTTCACAGAATTTGTTGGGGCTAAAGGCAAGGATGTACTCTACATCGGAGATCACATCTACGGGGACATTCTTAAGTCCAAGAAGACGCGTGGCTGGCGCACGTTCCTCATGATTCCTGAGCTGGCACGGGAACTGCACGTCAGCATCTCACAGTGGACTCTCTTTGAGAAGCTTCAGGAGCTGGACATCAGTCTAGGCGACATCTACAAGTTGGTTATCTTGCTTCATGAGCAGCTCTGTTGTGAATATTTTTTTCTAGAACTGCTGGTCTTACTTTCCCTCAGGAACCTTGACAGCAGCTCAACTGACGTTCCAGACATCAGCAAGCTTCGGCAGTCCATCCGAGTGGGTTCACTTTTAATTTGGGGGTCTGATTTTTAGCTGGAGAGAAGGTGAATGAACTCTGTATTGCCATCAGTAGCTAGGGTTACCAACTCTTCAATGAAGGAAGTTAGGACGGGACAAGGGGGGGGGGGGGGGGGGGCGTTGCTTGCTGCGGCTCCTGCGGCACCAGTCTCGCTCCTATTTCCGGCCTGCCATGGCTTTCTATGCTAAAGTAGCTGAAGTTTATCGCAGCCAATGATAGCCACCGCAGCACTGCTTTGTGCAATTCGTGCTAACTTTGTATTTCGCAACGTGTCACGCGTTTTAGGCGTGCGACCCTTCACGAGTTCCTGTCATGCTGCTGGAGAGACTGGATCTTACATCCAAACAGACGATGGCAAGCAGTCAGACAAAGCGTCTTGGCGTACCACTGTCTCGGCAAAATTAAAATAGCAGATGGCAGATTGAAGTTTTACTAACTGGACTGGTGGTAACAAGGTGTCCAGTAGCAAAATCGTAGCAAATCTGTGCGACTCTTTTCGAGTTCCAGTCATGGCGCTGGACAGACTGCATAATGCATGCGTACAGGCCAATGGCAAGAAAATCGATAAGTCAACTTCTTTTGGTGTATCATTCCCAAGGCAAAATTCGAACGAGAAGGTAATGTGGGAGAAGCATTTGGCAGAAGGGGATGAGAGCCACGTTTATAAAGACCAAATCCGAGACATATAGCTGTCCCGGCAGGGATGATGCGGGGCTCGGGACGCTTCATTAAAAGTCGGGACAGTCCCGCAATATCCGGGACGGTTAGTAGCCCTACCAGCAGCTTATCATTAACAGATTCATAGCATTTTAGTGCTTGGCTGTTTTTGTTCAATATAGTGGTATTTATTCTGTTGTGTACCTTTTTCGATTAATCCTGTGCATACGGTGTTTTAATCTTTTGTTCACGTGTTTTGTATCCCGAACGTGTGTCACCAAAGCATTTGTAATGGGAACCTAGACCCTAAATTTAAAATGCTTTACATTTTTCTTCCTTTCTTTCTTTTCTTTTTTTTTTTTTTTGGGGGGGGGGGTTATTGAAAATGAATTTGATTGGTCTTTGACTGCTACAGGAATCTTCACACGAGCTCGACATGTGCTATGGGATCCTGGGCAGCATGTTCCGCAGTGGTAGGTCCTTCCTTCTGCAGACTCTTGCCTTGCTTGAGCTAACCGATTGTGTCACTACCATTCGCAGGTTCTCGTCAGACTTTCTTTGCCAACCAGATCTGTCGCTACGCCGACATCTACGGTTACACATTCGTGAACCTCATGTACTACCCGTTCAGCTACATGTTCCGGGCACCACCAATGCTGGTGAGGACCTCTTTCTCTTTGAGAGAGGGTATAGGAGACGACTTTCTTTGCTCAGTTTGTTTTTATTATTCTGGAGAGTGTGTGTGGCACCAGCTCTGTGATGAAGACTTGGGAAAGGCAGGAGACACTGCCTGTGCCTATGTTAGGAATATGTAGCAAATAAGGCGTTCTGGGGTGATGCTGGCTCTCCAAGCTTGGGATGTTCGTAGTTCTGGCTTGGATCCATGCTGCACGAAAGAACCCCGAGGCACGCTGTGAGCATGGGAGTTGGAGATGTGGGCGCGCCCCGAAATCTGCAGCCTCCGACTGTCCGCAGATGCCGCACGAGTCGACCGTGGACCACGAGCAGGACCCGACGCACCAGATGAATGGCGAGAGCCTGCTGGACGGGGAAGGCAAGTGCAGCTCGGAGCATGTGCGCAGATTGTCCAAGACCGAACAGGTAGGTCAGGGCCTCCGGGCGCGTCCCATCCCCGTGACCCTGGCGTCCCTCTCGACCCAGCTTCCGTGCCGCGCGCCCAGCTTTGGCCAACAGCTCTGCATCTGTTGCCAATAAACCGCCGCTTGGACTGCCCTCGGAGGGCTGCTCTTGACCCAGTCCCGTGTGCTTTCAGGTGCCCCTGCGCATGCCCGAGACTCCCAGTTCGATAACGCACCACCATGACACCGATGACGACGACGAGGAGGCGGAAAAGTTGGCCGAGCCACATCCGTAGGCAACGACTCTGCCCACCAACCCCCACCGCCCTGCAGGCTTATGCGCAGCGAACAAGTGGCCTTAGCTGGGCTACCACGGTCTTCCTCCGATAGGAGGAGGCGGCAAATTGTGGTTCGGCGTCGAAGAATGCCCATTTTGTGCGCGGTGGAGACCTCCGGCACCGCGCGAGTGCTCTTAGTTGGCCTGTGTAAAAAAAAAATTTTCTTTTTTTCGGCGCCCCTGGCCACACAGGCATGGCCGAGAGAGCAGCTTGTGGGGCTCAGTGTGCAAGTCTTTTTTGCGCTCGTTTTGGCTTCTTTTACACGCCAAAGCAAGCGCTTAACTTTCTTTTATTCCTCCTCTGAAAATGTAACTCTGTGCTGTTGTTCTACTTGTACTGGCCCTTGTTTAGGTAATAAACTGATATTTTCAAGAATTTTAAATGTGGTGCACCTGTTGGTATTGGCAACAAGGATTTGGCTTCAAATAGGGATGTCATACTAGGCGTAACACAGAAGTAATGTGACCGATTTTCTTTAACCATGAATTTTATTCTTTTTACCAATTAGGGTTATCCCTTACAAAGTAGTTCCCTTGGGCAGTTACACCCTGAAGGAGGCGCGGTTTCCATTGTTCACAGCAGTGCTGGAAGGCTTCTGCTGGAACGCCTTTCAGCTCGTCGGTTACGGTCTTCTGGATATTATCCAAAGTAACAAAATGGAGCCCTTTAAAGTGGTCTTTCAGACGGGAGAATAAAAAAAAAAAAAAAAAAAAAAAGTCTCAAGCACTGAGATCTGGCGAATAGGGGTGCTGAGGAACCACAGAAAGTACTTTCTGCCAAAAATTCATTCTTGGGGATTGCCGTGCGACATGGGGCATTGTCGTGGTGCGGAAAGAAAGCGGAGACATGCGGTTTAGAGGGGCTCGTTTTAGCGAACACAGTTTTATCGACCCCAGTTCATCGAATTCCTTTATACACGTTTGCAAGTGCGGCCTCAGGGCGCAGCCATCTTCCTCAGATGGGGCGCGCTATAATCCGATTCCGACGCCATCGTATTCGGATTATGGCCGTGCCCAAGCGCACCCCAACTGAGCAAGATGGCGGCGCCCCGAGGCTGTACTTGCAAACGTGTATAGAGAAACGCAGTTTAGAGAAAATGGCGATGAGCCTCTGCTTAGCGAATTCGGCCGCCGCGAGGCGGCGTATACGAATGGGTCAGGTGAGTTAACATTTTTGTAATGAGCTGCCAAAGACTGCAGCCGGCGAAGTGGCGTAATCGCCGGGTGGATCAAGGGTCAACACGCGCCTCAATGATACATGCGCCAAAGAGAGAAGAATTTTAGAGCGCAGCTCTTAGGCGCCCGTTTCCGGCTTGAGCGGCGTCGGCGTCGCCGTCGCCGTCGGCGTGACCGCAAAGACCGATCCACATAGGGCGTATTCTTGACGAATTTACGCGCGTTTCAGCCGGCGTCATCACGGCATTTGGCGGGCGCTTTTTTTACTGAATTGAAGAGGGGAAGGTCGCAAACCACACATGGCGCTTTTCGTCGACGTCTCGTCGACGTTTGGTGCAGTGTAGCCCGACATGCGCCTTTCATGAAAGGAGGCAAAATTTAGATCGGCTGTTATATTACTGCGTTCAGCAAGGGGACAGAAATAACTAAATGTTAATCAACCACGAAAGCCTAATTTGCAAACGCCTGCTTCATAAATGTTCCTTGCAATCGCCAACTTGCCAACAAGTCCCGGCAGGAGTACGGCCGCGATCTCTGCTCAAAACCCTTCCTTTTATGATTGTTTCACATCGCCCGCAACTTAGAGGTTATTTTCTTCTGTCTCAGTCGTTCATCGCTCGTTCCAAAGAGATATAGCGATTTCGTACAGTTAGCCAATAAACTGTCGAACGCGCCAAGCGAGCTCCCATTTCGGCGGCCGAGTCAAGCCAGCCAGCCGGCCGCATAGCTAGTCAAGCCAATCCTGGGGCAACTTCTGGCTGTCAACTCGGGAGCTGATTGGCCGGCACCGCGCCGTACGCTTCCGGATACGCCACCCAGAAATACGCCGAAGCGCCGAGATCTGCATGGTCGGATCGCTGAATACGTCGGGATTACGTCCGCCAAAACGCCCGTGAATATGTCATGAATACGCCCCCTGTGGTTCGGCCTTAACGCGTCGGCGTAACGCTTTTTCGTGACGCGTCGGCGTCGCGGTCGGCGTAGCTGCAACGCGTCGGCGTGACGCGTCGCCGTCGGCGTAACCGCGCGGTGCATTATGGGAAACGTGCCATAATGCACCGCGGTGACGCGCGTGTTGCATTATGGGACGTTTCCCATAATGCACCGCGCGGGAGGGAGGAGGACGAGGAGGATGGAGGGAGGAGAAAGAGGGAGAGAGGGAAGAGGGAGGAGGAAGGGAAGAGGGGGAGGAGGCGAGGAGCAGAGGAGAAGTAGATGAGGCAGGAGGAGAGGCATACCGTCCCCTCCGTACCCTTCCCTCCTCCTCCTGAAGAGCTGCGCTCTAATTGGGTATTACAGGGAGTTGTAAACGTCTTTCATTTTTTTAAACAGCGTTCCTTTTCGATAAACTCGAGTTTCTTCAAATAGAGGCTCCGCTTTCTCTAAACCGAGCTTCGATAAAACGTACCTGTTCTCTAAAACGTGTTTCGATGAAATGGCATTCGATCAACCATAGTGCAGCATCCAAATGCCTGCAATGCCTGGTTGCACGGGTGGCACTAGGTTGAACGGCGTTTTAGCGAACACCGACTTTTCATCGAAAGATACTTCAGCGAATTGTCGGCTGCCGTGAAGCGGCGTTCACGGGTGGGCCAGGTGGGTTAACGTTTTTGTAATGCCCGATTCCCGCTAGAGCGACAAACGGAAAGAAACGACAGCGACAAGCCTCAAAACACTTGCAGCATGATGGTGTCTTTGGCAGGCGTTTAGTCGTTCGGTGCTCGTGAAGAAAGCACGAGTGATTGCAGGCTTGCCAAAGATATTCTCACGTGCATGATGCTAGTGTTCGAGCATAGTTTTCTTTATTCTACAAAGCCTGTCAAATCGCGAAAGACTGGTTTGAGGCATGTCACTGTCACTTGTTTCTGTTTGTCGCTCTAGTGGGACTCGAGCATAATCAGCCGCCGCAGACTGTCGCCGCGAAAACGCAGGCCGGGGGCGGCGGGCGGGGGGTTGGGCGTATCTCAAAACGTCCCATTCGCATTTGAACCTTGCACATTTCGTCCCATTCTCATTTAGTCCTTCTCGTTTGAACCTTCTCATAAGATCCGAATCGCGTTTTTCGCAACTGGACCCATTCTCATTTTGCCCGTTATCTGAAAACGTCCCATTCGCATTTTGACCGTGCGCATTTCGTCCCATTCCCATTTGGTCCGCCTTGTTTGAACCTTCTCATAAGATCCAAATTGTATTTTTTCGCAACTGGACCCATTCTCATTTCGCCCGTTCGAAATACGACCGAATGGCACTAGTTCGGCATGCTTCTAACGTCGTTAGGCCTTCGCGATTTTGTTGATGGGCCTTACCTTGCTTGGGCCCCCAACATACCATCAGATATATGTTATGTGTAGAGGTATGCACTGAGAATCACACAATGACGCCTGCTTCCCTTCCTCTAAGCAAACGAGAAGAAAAAAGCGATGAACATTTAATTTGGAAACTTTGTTTGAACAGAAATAGCATACATAATAGCAATGGTTTGTAACCATTGATGTTTCGCGGACCCCTTGTAGAAAACCGGAGATGATGGAGGACCCCGTTCGAGGTGCGGGGAATAGAAAGGCATAGGGTATCACGATAATGGTTTAATAAATGGATATAACTAATTGCTAGTGTGATGTAGACTTATCTCATTGACATACACACGAGAGTACTCACCCGAAAATTGGAAAGTTTCTTCTCAACTGTGAAGAAAGACAACTAATATTGCCGTGCTTGACTGTTGAGACAGGGCTTCGCGGACCCCTAGGATACCTTCGCAGACCCCCATTTGAGAACCACTGCATTATAGAAGTGGCATGTGGCATTGTCTCAAGTCGAGAGACCTCAAACAACGTGACATTTCGGAATATGATCTGGCTGCGATAAATAGTTGGTCTGTTTTATTGTCAGCTATTAACTTTTCACGACGACCTCGACGCACTGCTAAAATCCTTAGCAGAAAAAGTATGCCTGTAGCGTGGCGCACACACACACACGCACAAAATATATCGATGTATTTATTAATATACCATAAAACGATTTTTGTATGAAAAAAGTCATGTGCGACGGGTCAAAGAGAGGTATTTTCGAGAATGGCTGTTTTGAAAAGGGCCAGGGGAGAAGGGCGAAGCGGGAACGGGCCCACATGAGGAGAGTTGGAATGCGAAAGACGAAACGGGAAATGGCCAAATGCGACGGGCCAAAACGAGAAGATCTTTTTGAGAATGGTTGTTTTGAGAAGGGCCAAGTAAGAAGGGCGAAACGAGAACGGACTCAAATGAGGAGGGTTGAAATGCGAAGGACGAAACGGGAAAGGGCTAAATGCGACAGGTTCAAGAGAGAAGATCTTTTTGAGAATGGTTGTTTTGAGAAGGGCCAAATGAGAAGGGCGAAACGACAACGGGCTCAAATGATAACCACCCGCGGGCGGGAGGGAGGGGAGGGGGAGGGGGGAAAGGGGGGATTGGTTAACTCTTGCTCGAGTGTTTCGCGAAAACATCGATTCGCTCAAATGACCGCTGTTCACTCAAACGTCATTCGCTCATGGTCCCGGTTGCACATGTGCCACCCTATTTTTCAGCCTTTAAAGGACTTCCCATTAAAAAGTTTGTCAGTTTGTTCTAGAGGCACAAATTCTTTCTGGGCAATCGCATGACTCTCTCAAAAAAAAAAAAGAGCATTGATTTGATTTTTTATTCGATGACACCAGTGCTTAAAGTCAGGGGAGTCTCGGGGATCTCGGACCCCAGTGGATTTCGACGAGGCGTTCGAGACCACTTTGCGGAGTAGATCCAACCCTCGCGCCCCTAGTGGCGAAGTTGAGAACTAAACTCATGGGTACAACATGAATTATTTGGGACTATTTCTGGCGTGGCGTTAAAGCTGTGTCAGCGTTTGGATGCATGTGCATGTTATTAGTTTAAAGGTAAGCTGCTTGTCGTAATATGTCCCACAACCCCCTCCCCCTTCCCCCGGAGTTGTCCACAGAAGAGACCTCCTGCCACCGGTGGGAGAAGAATTTGATGGCACAACATTGCTCAGAATTTTGCCGGTCCATTTGCTTTAACCCACCGCACAAATTATTGTACCTGAGACGCTTTCAATAATCGTATAGCCGATGTAGCAAGTTCAAAGTTATACTGAGTCTACGGCAGTGGTTAACCTAACTGACATGTGAAGGGGGAAGCAGCAGCATCGTCAGTTTGTGCACAGCTGCCAGTCTCAT